ATCAGGGGGTGCAAGCCTTCGAGGTATGGTTGGAAGGCAGAGGGGCAAGGAGCAACGCTAGAAAGATTGGGTTGAGGGTGGGAATTCGTTAGAAGGCCCCATGTGCCCTCCTAGAGTTTAGGCTTGATCCTGTAGGCAAAGGACAGTCACCAAGCAGAGGAAGCTGAGAGCAGAATGTGGTACTTATGAGCTACATCAAAATGCCGACTTCGCAATAGAGTTATGTTATCACATCACTTATCCAACTTAAAATCGGAGTGACTGTTGCATGCAAGAAATGACAACAGAGTGAGTTTTTACATCGTTCTTTACTGTGCAGACTTCCTGCCAATATCACCTTCATCAGCCGCACATGATGGATGTCTAACAGTTAAAATGGGTTTTTGCATGAATCTTACTTAAAATTGCTCTGAGTATTTGGTTTTGAAGGCTTCTAGAAAACTCGTGCTTTTTGTCCGTTACTGCTCTGCAGGATTGGTGAGGCCAGTGTACTGCTTTCTCTGGGGCTACCAAGGCAGCGAGGATAAAAATAGGACAAACTTTAAGAATCCCAGATATTTTCAGATAACAAAGACTGATTTATGCAGGCCCGCTTCGTGCTCTGACCAAACATAGAGAAGCTTTTGTGCTGTGATTAGCAAGGGTGCTGATGTCAGTTCTCTTGTCAAGCATCAAGCTTTATTCTGTAGCTAAATTGTGCTTTGTACCATAATCCAGAGAACCTTTGTATCTGCCTTATTTAAGTGTGTAGTTTATGTAATTGCTTTTGTTTTCCAGTTTCATCGGTGCCAGATTCAATGAGAATGACTCATTTTGCGACCGAGACAAACATTCACATTTGGACCATGTTAAAAATAAATAAATAAGTGGCAGGTGCTGCTTGGTGAAAATTCTGTGTTTTAGTGCGGTCATTTCCTGCTGGAAGAGTTCACCTCTCGAATCACGTCTCAGCCTCTGCAGTCGCTAGCCCAATATCTCTTATTCCTCAATTCATGGCTATTCATTTCTTGGCTCCTTCTTTTAGTTTCTAAAGGCTTTGTTGAATTTGAACAATGGGATTTCAACAGGAAAGCAAAGGAATAGATAAGAGAAACCAAAAGAACACACACACACACCTTCTTTTGTTTCTCTGAGGTGTTTATGGATGTGCTTTGGTGCAGTGAGGTATCATGTCAAGCTCTGGAACTCTTTTCTCCAGTGGAAGGGGTTTTGAAAGCACTCCTTTCTTTTTATTGTGACCTGTACACCAAATTTAATATTCTCAAAAGTTTTACAACTTTATTTTCTTAGGGGGAATTCTACTTGTTTATTGTACAAATATTTCTGTGTTCCAGGCACTGGGCCATGTGTGGGGTATGTAATGGCGTATCAAGCAGACATGGTCACATTATCTTCTTGAACCTTTCATCCTTGCTAGGGGGTTAGATGCTAAATAAATAAATACAAAGAAAAACTGAATTGCAGACATATATAAATCACAACAGAGGCAAGTAATAGGGTCCCCAAAATTATACCCTGCTTTACCTTGGGGTTGGTTGGGTTGAGGGTGGTTGGGGAAGGACAGGCTGAAGATAGGAATTGGTCATTCAAAGACCAAGGGAGAGAACAAATACTGGATTTAGAAAACAGCATGTGAAAAGTCCCTGAGCAGAAAGGAGTTTGGCCTCCTGTAAGCCACAATATCAAAAAAAAGAAGAGGCAATTAAGAGAGAAAAGATAGAAAACTGCATTTAAAAGATTATGAATGAATCATACAGGCACAGCTGTATGGCATTACTTAGAGGCCCAGAAGCCTTTGAGATCCTCATAAAATGCAGTATAGAACCTGATGCCTGTACTACTTAGCCTGAGTCATCAGGGAATGGAGGAATTATGTGCAATAAATTATGTAGTAAGGCATTTTAAAAAGATTTCCTTACAAGACATTAAAGTTTTAAAAAGTCAATTCTGTATTTAAAGACAGAAACTCCACTATCTAGAAAAATCACTAACCCAAAGATAGGATTCCTTGATGGACCTGGATAAATAATCTTCATTTTTTCTCTTCCCTTTATTTGTCCACTAATCTCTCAAGCTTACTGCTTGAGAGGTGTGTTAATCAGCTCTTACTGCTGGGTGTGGTAGTGCATGTAATCTCAGCGACTCAGGAGGCCGAGGCAGGAGGAATCAACCTAGTGAGATCCTGTCTTAAAATAAAAGGACTGAGGATGTGGCTCCGTGGTTAAATATCTTTGGGTTCACTTCCTGGTACCAAAAAAAAAAAAAAAAATCAGCTGATACTGTGACAGCACATCTGAGAAAAACAAGGAGGAAATATTTATTTTGGCTCACGGTTTCAGAGGTTCAGTCCATGATCAGCGGGCTCCATTGTTTCTGGGCCTGAGATGAGGCCATACCTCCTGGTGGAAGGGTGTGGCAGAGCAAAGCAGCTTACCTCCTGGCAGCTGGGAAGGAGAGAGACAGAGAGGTGGAGAGGGAGAGGAAGGGACTGGGGACAAGAAATACCCTTCCAGGGCATGCCACAAGTGACCTACTCCCTCCAACTAGACCCCACCTCCTGCGGTTTCCACCACCTCCCAATGGTCCATTCATTTATGAAGCCATCAATGGATGAATCCACTGATGAGCTGAGAGCCCTTGGTCCAGTCACTTTCCCAAAGCCCCACCTCTGAACAGTGTGCATTTCGGACCCAGCCTGGGAGACCTTCCAGATCTAAACCGCAACAATAAGGAAGTATCTGTAGAGAACCCACTCACAGATGGTTTCTGTTTATTTTTAAATAAATAGGAGTATATCGAATGAGTGGATTTTTATAACCCAGTACCAGATTTGTGTGAATCTGACATGCTGTGACTTTTTAATATTATCTAAAACATCTATAGAACTCTATTGTTCTTTCTCCTTCTGACACCAGTTCTGTACTTTTTCATTTGAACTGCAATAAGAAATTAACTCGATGTTTTAACATTCTGCGGCCTTGGTGATTTTTTCTTTTTCTTTTTTTAGTAAATTTGTTAAAGGATTGCAAGTTTTTCTGTAAAGGAGTGCTTATCCACTAAGCAATATTTCTGTAGCTACTTTTCCAGGGTGGCTGTGTTCCAAAGTATTTATTTTCATTTATGTTAAATATTTTCTCCACAATTTTTTGTTGTCATTTTACACAAGGCATTTATTTGTTTATTTATTTATTTATGGCTTACTTTTCTTTTTTTGAAATTTTTTTCTCCACAATTAGAAAACACCTCGAGGGTAGGAATCATGAATTTCCAACTTGTCTCTCTTCCCCAAAGTACCTTGTACAGTATCTTCAGAAAATTCAACTACTTGTTGAGTAATTCATTGATTTTCTTTAATGGATATAATTTAAAGAATCTCTTAAAACATTAAGCCTAAAGGTATCACCCACGTTATGTTGGTTGTCAGTTGTCCACATTACTAGAAGGCTGGACGGCTGGTTTGTGGATTGCTCAGGGTCCCTTCTTCCTTATTTTCTGTCTCTGCGTCAGATCTTTGCCAGAGCTTCCCAGCCCCTCCATTAGGGAACCACAACTCAAAATCAGTTCACATCAGAAGTTTATTATACAATTTAGTGAAGATGGAGGCAAAGACGAAACAACTGCCTGAGAAGTGTGTGTAGATTTTAGTTATCGATCCTCTTTTTTTCCCTTTTCACATTTTTTTCAGAATACAGTGAAGCCATTTTTGAAACTGTCACTACAATACCTTTTGTGTTATATTTGCCAGATTTTATGAAACAAAAAACCACTCCATCATGTCATACTCATGGCTTTCTCCATTGCCTTGGATGATTTTAAACTTGGTCAATATTTTCTTATAAATAGATAATATATGTTAATGAAGACAGAAGTACTGTTTGGGGGGAAATTGGCCTATGTTAACAGCCCCAGCAGGAGCTGTCTGTCTTGGTCTGATTAGACTGTAGAGCATGGAGCTCGTATACCGTGATGAGTAAAATTTCTAAAATTCCTGTAGGCACAGGGCTGTCATCATACCAGTTGTCACTGGAAAAGAGACTTTCTCTTGCTGGTCCTAATTTTCCAAGACTAAAGGATTGTGACATTGTAACTGGTGCTCAGAGTCTGTGGGTGAGTAGGAGGAACAGTGAGAACATGTGCCTTCAGTGGGGTTCATAAAATGTCACGGTTCTCTGCCCTTCCACTTCCTGGAATGTCCTCTTTGGGCAGTCTAACCTCGAATGTTCTGTCAATAAGAGTACAGAGTGTCTATTAGTAGGTGATTGAGACTTATGAGTCTGAGAGGAGACAATCTGAGTTTTGTTTCTAGGCACAGATGTTAGGGTTAAGGACTGATAAAGAAGACTCCATCATTGGATTCTGCTTTTATTATTTGATGAAGCACCTTCATGTGTGTATTTTATAGCAAGATATTAAGGCATGGAAAATCATTGCTTTTAAAAAAATGTGGTAAAATAAATACAACATACAATTTACCATTCTATTTTTTAAGAATACTGTTATTAAGAACATTCACATTATTGTACATCCATGACCACTATCCATCTCCAGAATTTCTTCATCTTTCCCACCTGAAACTCCTCATTCTCCCTTCCTGCTGTGAATGTGACTACTCTAAATACCTCACATAAGTGGAATCATACTGTAGTTGTCCCTTGGTGAATGGCTTATTTCATTGAGTTATCATGTCCATATTAATTTTTCCCAGCATCATTTATTGAAAGCATTACTTTTTTATATGTAGTAAAAAACCAAACCTTCATTGGTTTTTTGACTTGATATATCATAGGATAGTTAATAGAAGATACAAGTATATATATCAGAAAGTTCTTATGAGAGATCAATAAGCTTTGGTGTTCAGAGTGGAAGATCATCCTATGATAACTGAAAACCATTGTGACTTCTCTAGATGGTGCATTTATAATATTGGCTTGATAAATGTGTAGCTTCTGGAAATTTTTCTCTGCAATTAATACTAAGTGGTGATTTTGGTTTTTTCCTAGGCATGGAAAAGGAGGTGGTTTGTGTTACGCAGTGGCCGTTTGACTGGAGATCCAGATGTCCTGGAGTATTACAAAAATGATCATGCCAAGAAGCCCATCCGTATCATCGATTTAAATTTGTGTCAGCAAGTCGATGCTGGATTGACATTTAACAAAAAGGAATTTGAAAACAGCTTCATTTTTGATATCAACACTATTGACCGGATTTTCTACTTGGTAGCAGACAGTGAGGAGGAGATGAATAAGTGGGTCCGCTGTATTTGTGATATCTGTGGGTTTAATCCTACAGAAGAAGGTAAGTTCAAGATTTTATTACCCGACTTCAGTTCTCCGTTTTTTGCGATGTGTTTAGAGGTGCCATAAAACTCCTTGTTAATTCAGTTATACACTGTTTTGTTTTGCAATAGGAACCTGACATTTGGGGAAATCGTGGAACTCTTCCTTATTCAGTGTGGACAGAAACTTTTTTTTTCCCACAGGTTTGAGAGAGAGAGACTTAACAACCATTGCAGGGCAGTGTATAACTAATTGTCCTGAGGAAGAAGGGGTCGGGAGAACATTCTTAAGTGCATTTATTGAGTTTTGACATTAGTATTAAGTTGGACTATTTAATAGTGTTGATATATGACTGTTTCTACCGATTAAAATGTCAAAAATGTTATGCTTCATCTCAGTTCTTTAGGCATTATTTTAAAAACCACATTAGGTTTTCAAGTTATGAAGTAGCCAAGGTGATTATCAATACCTAGGAAAAGCAAGTGAGAATCAAGCACAAAACACAATGAAAAAGAGCACAGAGAAGGAAGAGGGGGCTCAAGGTATGGATAAGCAGGAGTAGAGGACAGTTTCCCAGGAGAAGAGTTGAGGGTTGCAGGCTTGGAAAGAAGTAATGTTTCCATGTGGGTGGAAACAGCCCTCCAGGTTTAGGCACCTGGGAAGGAAAGAACTCCGAAGTGGAATAGGATCATACTGTGCAGAAGGGCCATGGGTAAAAGAGGCAAAGAGACAGCTGCTTTCAGATCTTGACTTTCCTGGAAAGAGCTCAGCTGAGTGGGTGGGGGGGTCTCAGGTGGAAGTCTTGTTCAGGTACTGTCAGAGCTCTTTGACCACTTAGTCCCTGTCTGCTTCTCTTCCTTTCCAAACATGCACTCAGAACCTGTGTAGGGGACTTCAATATAGATTTAATTTTATAGAGCCAAGAATCAGAAATGAAGGTGAACCGAGGTCTTCAACCCTGGTGTCTTCAACTTGTCCCTTGTATCCCTGAGGGATGCGGTCCAAGATTCCCTAGTGGATGCGTGAAGCACCTGTTCAGGATACTACTGAGGATACCATGAGGTATCATTGTGATGGATCTTCTGTTTAAATCATGTGTCATCTTATAATCGTTTTGTGGTTACTGTTGTTCCATTTTCCTGCTGACTTTTCAATTTGGAATTTGTTTGGGGGACCTAAGAGCAGAATTCCATCTCCATTGCTGCCTGCATAGATTGAGCTGATCTGCAAGGCTGAGTAGAAGTGTCCTTTCATGTTTCTTGGTTCTTTTTATAATCTTCTGAAATATTTTAATAAAGGAAATGAAATGTGTCTTAGAAGATGTTCATTCTTCTTTCAAGGAAGGTGAATGTCTGGTTTTTGGAAGCCTATTCAGTACTGGGTAAAGTTGAGAACTTCCAAAATAAGAATTTCTAAATGTTTGTTTATGAGATTAATTTTGCAAGTTTTAAGGCACAGAGTCTCTGGTTTGTGTGACCAACTTAAAATATTTCTTACCATCCAGGAGATAAATGAACAAGCAATCAGATCTGGGAAGAACAAAAGCTTGGTATACTTTAGAAAATGGATTCATTAGTTCACCAAAATTTGGGTTTGCTAACACTCCATTAGGTTGCAGGTGCTCGTTCAACACACACATATTAGGTGACTAGTTAGGGAGACAGATGGTAAACCTCACTGACATGGAACAGAATATCTAGTGGGAAATTATTTCTTATAAAAAATGTCTAAATAATGCATTACATTTGTTGATGGGTGCAAGTTCATGTGTGTATACTACACGATCTAGTAGATGATCCAGAATTATAATACCTAGTGATAAGTGCCCTGTACTTAGATAAACATAGATGGCAGCAGCTCCTAATTTAGTCCTGAGGGTCAAGAGAAGCTGAGGTAGTTTTAAACTGCTCTGTGACTGTCACCGATCATGTACTGAGAACTCTGGTTTTGTACTTAGCGAAACATTTCATTGATTTTAGAAGTCAGAATCACTCAGTCACAATGTCTGTTTTCACTTTAAAAATGTTCTACCAGTATAAGGAGGGTTGAAGTTTTAAAACTTAAAAGCTTCAGTGACCTTTTGGTGGCAAACTCACTAGTCGTTACAAAGCACATTAGAAGTATATTTGGGTTGAATGAAATTCTTAACTTTTGAACCTCTTATCAAAACAATATACATAAAGGGTGAGCAATAAAGTATCAATCAGGTTTGATATGTATGGTTTGTGACTTGGTTACCAACGGCAGCTGTGCTAATCACATATCATTTTTATCTGCTCATTAAAACAAGCCCCAGGGACTTTTAATTTGCTAATACTTTCTATAATTAGTTCAGAGCTATATTTATATACAACTGCACTTATGTTTTAGATTGTATTATTTAGATTTTTTACAGCTTCTTCCTGGACATCTGTCCCCAAATAACCTAATTAGAGCTGTTTGTAATATAGTGAAGTATATATTGAGGTTATAGGAAAAAATTGTATAAAGTGAACTGTTCATCATTATGTAGTATCATAATGAGGTGTACTTCATTGTACTCTACAGTTTAGGTTTTTAATGTATAGTGGCAAAAATGCTATAAAACTAACTACTATACTTCCTTATGCATTTGTAGTATAGACTAAATACCTTTTGAAAAAAAAAATAGCCTAGCATGAAGAAAGCTTTGAGTGTCAGTTCAATCCCTGACACTACATATATACACACACAGTAAATGAATAAAATAACATCTAAAGATTTGTCTGAAATGCTAACAGCAGCAAATTGCTATAATACTTTGTAATTGTATTCATACAGTTTAATATAAGGTAAGAATCAAAATAGCTTTGTTCTTCCATTAACCTTATTGCCTGGTTTATATTCCCTTTTTTCCAACTAGACCTCTCTGCCCATCATGAACAGTATTTTTGTTTTTACCTAGATCTGTCCCCTGTGCCCTGTGCTCTTCCCATTTTGGAGGGCTGAATATGTTCCCACTTTGAGCTCAAAAAGTGGTCAATAACATGAGATGATTTTCTTCACTGTGCTAGTTTCAGACCAGATGTTGGAAAAAGTAGACTGTGCTTGGATCTCAGTCTGAGAAAATAACTATCCACAATCCCTGTGAGAATAACTAGTTTTTCCCTGAAAACAAAAGGAAAGGGGAAAAATCTGACCTGTGTTTTGATTCCAGGAACCTCTCAAAATATCGTTACCATGTTATTTCCGGTGCCCCAGGTGACCACTGCTATTATTGAATACTCAAAGTGCTGGCAGGCTGTATCTGTTTTTAAATTCTAACTCATTGAACTGTGTGTGGTTCCTATGAATGCTTTTCTTCAGTAGATTTGAGGGTAGAAACTAATTTCTTTTGTTTTTCTTGGAAATGTGCAAATTTATTTTTATTTCCACACCACCAAGGTGGAAGCTGTTAAATCTGCTAAACAAGTCCTGGGAAGCACAGCCCAAGGGCTATAGGAAGCTCACTCAGTTCTCTAAAGGCCTCTGGGCTAATTTTAGGATGCAAGATTAGAAAGTTGCCTCTGAGGTGTTTTTTTTTTTTAATTTTTTTCAAAATGCCCAGATTATAGTGGCTTAATTAAAAAAATAAAAAGTGTGATTCTCTGTTTTGATATGCTTCCTGATAGACAAGCATTTACGATTATATATACACTTCCTTTCTTAGGAAGCAGTCGTTCTCAATCGAGGACTTTTAAATTTCTTTTTCTTTACTTTTTTATTGAGATTTAAATTGCCACTATGATTAGTATAGATCTTAAATGTATTGTTCAAAATAGCTTTATATATGTATGTCTATTCATAGAGACGTCTGTATAGCTGCCCAGTATTAAGAAATAGAACATTTGCACTCCCCTGAAAGTTTCCTTTCTGCCTCCTCCCAGCAGAGCCCCCACCCAAATGTATTTTTATTTGCCTTTTGCTTTGACTGCCATCCCTTCTTTTTTGCCTATTCTTTATTTATTTCTTTTTTTGTGTGTTACTGGGCATCGCACCCAGGCAGGGCCTCACACATGCTCTCTGCCACTAAGCTACATCCCCAACTCTTTTTCTTATTTTTTGAGACAGGATCTCGATTTGCTCAATTTGGAACCCTTCTGCCTCAGCCTCCCAAGAGCAGGGATTACAAATGTGCACTTGAGGCTGAGTTTTACTTTTTTTTTTTTTTTTGTACCAGGGATTGAACTAGGGTCATTTAACTACTGAAACACATCCCCAGTCATTTTCTTGAACTTCATATAATGGAACTATTGAGTCAGGCTTCTGTTTTCCAGTATTAAGTCCACAAGACTCATCGAGATTATAGCATGTATGCATTTCTTTTGCAGCATTCCATTGTGTGAATACCACACTTTATGGATCTGTTTGAATGCTGAAGAACATTTGGGTTGTCTTCAGTTTTTAGTTAATATAGCTGCACAGAACATTCTTATGTTTTGGGTTTTTTGGGGGGAGGGGGGTACTGGGAATTGAATCCAGGGCTGCTAAACCATACAGCTATGTCTCCAGCCCCTTTTTATTTTTTTTTTTTATTTTGAGAAAGATTTCATTAAGACCTTAGGGCCTTACTAAATTGCTGAGGTTGATCTTGAACTTGAGATCTTCCTGCCTCAGCCTCTCAAGTCACTGGGATTACAGGTGTGCCTCACCATGCCTGTCTTACATGTCTTTTGATAGATATGTCTAGTAAGTTCTTTGGGTATATACGCATGAGTAGAAATGCTGCATCCTAGGATAGCTATAGATTTAACCTTAGCAGATTCAGTAGCTTTAATTCTCCAAAGCGGTTGTACTGATTGCTTTCCTACCTGCAGAGTATGAGAATTCCAATTATTGCACATTGTTACCAACATTTGTTACAGTCAGCCGTTAATTTCAGTCATTCTAGTGGGTGTGCCATGATATCTCATGGCTTTAATTCACATTTGCTGGAGGACTAATTCAATCAAAGCTTGAGTTTGTTTTTTTCTGTTTTATTACACACTTTCAAGCTACTGTCTCTGAGATCTTGGTTCACCGAATGTCCAGTGTTGGGGCCCAGGCAACTAGATCTCTAAAATTCCCCCAAGAGATTCTGATGCCATCATATCTCTAGATAAGTATTATGGCATTTGCCAGGATTGCCTAACAATTTGAAGTCTCTAAGAATGTTTTTGCAGTCTATTGAAGAGAGACATGACAAATAAGATCTTTTTTCTACTTGACACATTAAACATATTATGTAATAATTTAAGTCTTTAATAGTTGGATTAAATAAGCTGAAGAAACTGCAGTTGGTTTCACCAACAGTTGCTACTGCTGCTGCTTCTTGTTGCTATCCATTTGTCAGATTTACCTTTATAAAATGTTCTTCCATAAAAATGGTGTATTCATTCAGGGCTGGGACTGTGGATCAGTGGTAGGGTGCTCGCCTAGCACTTTCGAGGCCCTGGGTTCAATCCTCAGCACCACATATAAATAAAGGTATTGTGTGCAACTACAACTGAAAGTAAAATAAGTATTTTTTTTTTAAACAAATGGTATATTCAGAAGTGAGAAGATGGTTGGTTATATTAGTGTTAATGATAATGAATACTCTTTATAGACTCTTATTTTCCAAGTGATACATAGACCTATTCAAAATTATTCTTTTTTAAGAAATATTTTTTGTTGTTGTAGATGGACACAATGCCTTTATTTATTTATTTATTTTTAATTTGGTGCTGAGGATCGAACACATACTAGGCAAGTGCTCTACCACTGAGCCACAACCCCCATCCCAAAATGCTTCTTCTTAAAAGAAAAATTTTACAGCACACCAGATAAATCAGTAATCAGTAGATACAGAATAACCTTGACCTATTTACCATTAATTGCAATTATAAAAGTAAGACTTTCACAATAAAACAAATAGGAAAAAAAAAAACCACAAATTTTGTATCAGCAGACACAGCCCACCCTCAGAGGAAACACTCTCATCTGGTCTCCTGATAAGAACAGAGGAGCAGCTCCACAGTTTCATGACTGCATGCTCAGATGCAGTAAGTCAGTGGTTAAAAATTAACCTATGCATCAACTCCGCAAAATTCTACTTTACCAGTGAAGAGAGTAGAATTATTTCCTACTTGTGTCATTTCATTTTGTTAAATGAGTAATTCTTTTGAATATTCAGAAGCATTATCTAGCCTCCCCAACTTCTTGAGGGACCCTAACAGCAGACATGATGACTCCAAATAGGATAAAACTAAAGCTGAGGGTAGAGTGGCGTGAGCCAGTTTCTAATGTTTTGGATCTCATCAAATCATAATCTACTTCTCTCCACTGAAAATTTGTCCACTGAAAGGCTTTCCTTCGCAATGTTTATTAGCTTTCTAAGTATATTTCAATTAGGACTTCACTCCAGTAGCTTATTAGGCCTTTAATGAATGTTCATTATACTCTTCACGTCTTCTGAATTACGAAGTAGGAGATTATTTTTCATGCTCAAGCAAACCCTAAACCAATGTTTGGTTCTTAGAAGCTTGATACTAGCCTTCCTTAGAGCAGTAATTCAGAGGCGTGAGCAAGGAGGGGAACAGAATGGCCTGTTCCATTATTTGTGGTGTAGAGATAGGTACAAGTCAACATGTTTATAAGGTGAACAGAAGTTTTTTTGTCTTAGGCCAGTCATTAAACTACAGGGAGAAATTGTCAGAGAACATTTAGACACTGTACATTGCTTGTATTAAAATAATGCAGAGCTGAGTTATAGTCAAATTAACATGACTGAAAAGAACCCAGAGACCAGAATGTTGAAGATGTTGTGTTTTCTGAGCCCAGGTGGTAGAGTGGTTTCCTCGGCCCTGTTGAAGTCTTGTTTGTGCCAGTATTGTCTGCAAGGGGAGGGGGTGGCTGTTAATGGATGTTTAAAGGTCTTTTCTTTCATGAGCTTGCTCGTGAACATCATGGGAATTTTTCTCCAGCTCTTTGCCTCTTTTAATGTTCATGCAGTATATAAATGAGATAATTTTGAAAAAGGAACCTTTAAATCCCAGGTCTCTTTAAAGAGGTTAAAATGCTCTGATCATTCATAGGTAGGAGATATGGAAGGTTAGAAATGAGATGGTCCCGTTGTGTTAATAAAACAAGGTCAGACTGTGGTTTCCTGGCCGGGTGGATTTTCTTTTCCCACTTAAGATGAATCACTTAATTCATTTAGGGTTTAGCCATCAAGTTTAGAAAAAGTATTAAAGGAAAAGTGTATCTATAAAAACAGTCACTAGAATTCATATGATTTTTATAGAGTTTTATAGAGTTTTATAGATTGTCATTGTTTAGTTTTATTTTGTTTTGGTGAGATCTAAAAATTGAGCTAGATTACTGAATTTTTCTGTGCCTCTACTATAGAGGAAAAGAGAAGTATATAAAATACACTTGTGGATACAACCTGTAGGATACAGTTAACTGCCTTCTCCTTTCTTCCTTCCTAGTGTTGTATATATTTTTCTTAAGCTTGCCTTTAAAAGGTAGATATTTTTCATGGCTCTCTTAAATCCAGAGGGATTTACTCTGAGTCACTATTTAATCTCTAGCATTTTAAATCTCCTTGAATTAAATCTGTGTATTCACAACCTCATCAAAAGAGTGGAACATTTCAGAAGGTATGTTATATACATTGCTTTGTAACCAGCCTAGGTTGTTAGACAGGACAACAAGAGTTTGTGAGTACCCACTGAAATCATGACATCATTATGTAAGTGTCCAAAAATTTACTCTAACCATTTCTGTTCTCATCCTCCTGAAAAAGAAAGAATTTATTAACTCCTGACCTAAGGTGTTAGAGTTTGTTAGGTGAGCCTGTAGGAAGACTTGACCTTACCTGGAGCATCACAAAGATTAAAAAGTCAGAAATTAGTTCGGCCTGTTTGCTCAGACTATATTCTCTAACTGAAAGAAGTTTTCAACCCTTTTGAGCACCCAGAAGGGCTCACGGAGTTCTCGAGAAGCAGGTAGAGGAGTTGGAAAAGTCTCTTGCTCTAATCTCTTCTGGTTTGACCGAGAGAAGGTGCTCAGGGAGTTTCTACCTCAGATTGAAACATCCCCCTCCCCGAACGTGTGTTTCTGAACCTCTGTTTGCTATTGAGTCACAACTGGGGATACAGTTACATTTAGACCTCACAATTAGAAACCTGCCTTCAGCACCTGAAAGAGTTGTAAAATGAGCTAAATAGACTTGTCTATGCTGTTTATGGGAATATTATAGTTAAATACATAAGGACATTATCACAAGCAAGTATCTAAAGAAGACAGTGTACAGTGATCCCTTCTCTGGTGAATGCCTAGGTCAGGTGACCTCGATCCCATTTGATAGAACATTAATTCCCTTACCTCTTTTAACATCTTTCACATAATGTTTTGTTGAAAAAAAAAAAAAGTCAATTTTAACTCAGCATTTTCTGTGCAAACATGCACAGGCGACAAACAAATTTGTTTATTTATATCTGGAACATTTACCTTTTTCTGGGTTATTTATAGCCTTGTATTCCTCACCAAACTAACAGAGTATATTCCTTCTGGGCCCTTAAAATTATACTTGGTTATGTCAGTAATTATAGAGGGATTTTATTTCTAGATTTTCAACTTGTTTTCAAATTATCTCCTTCTACACAATGTAGTTAGCTATTTTCATGTGTCTTTTCAGAACATGGTTAAGGACTTAATAAAGTACTTCTCCTCCACTTTCCTGAAAATGCTCCTTGTGCCCACTAACTGGCAGAGAAAGCCATGAGCTAAGAGACGGGGTGAAGCCTTAAAGAAGCCCTTTCCCTGGTCATGAACAGAATCCATCAGTCTCAGAATTAAAACTGTTTCTCCCTAGTCCTGCCAGAAGTATAAAGCAAAGATGAGCAGTAGAATAAACGAAAAAGGAAAAGCAGCCCTGGGACTCAGCAGCATGTCACCGTGTCACCAAACAGGTCTCCAGCTTAGGAAGTGACATGATTTTTATCAGGGGGAAAAAACTTGCCTCGCATGCACAAGGCCCTGGGTTTGTTCCCTGGCACCACAAATAAATAAGTAAATAATCTGTCTCTTCTGCTAAGATTGTAGAGCACTTTCATTCAGTAACCATAAAACTAAAGATCGTCTAAGTTGAGATTTTTAGAGCCCCTGGTACATTTTCGATCTCCTTGACATGAACAAATCTCTTCCTAAATGTTTCCATTTGGTAGTGTTTGTTTTAACTGACTTTGTCATGGTTATTCTGTTTTGGTGTGCTGAAGTAATTTCTCTCCAAACTTAAGGTAGTTTTGCTTAATAACAACAACAACAACAGAAAAATGTTCTTAAAATGGGACGGACAGTGAGAGTTAAACTTTGGCATTGCAGATCCCGTGAAGCCACCTTGCGGCTCCGTGCAAGCATCAGCTGATTCACCTTTTGCTATAAATACGGCACCACCATCTGCCCAGGTGGATCCATCCTCCACAGCTCTACCTCCTTCCTATCAGCTAATCAGCCTTCCACCACACCCGGAAACTCTTGGCATCCAGGAGGATCCTCAAGACTACCTCTTGCTGATCAACTGTCAAAGCAAGAAGCCTGAACCCACCAGGTAAGTCGTCTGTGCCTCTGTGTGTGCGTGCGTGTGTGCGTGTATGTGTGTACATTTTAAAATCTTACATTTAAACTTTTCAACCTTGACTTGAAGGCTTGAAAGCATTGTATTTCAGGCCTATATCCCTCCATTAATGATTTCTGATATTCAGGAGGTTTTATTGAAGAAACATAATCTAAGCTGTCTGTGGCAGACACTTGTACTTCCAAGACTCTTGGGAAGACAGGCTACTGTTTCAGTCTTTCTTAGAGACTTGCAGTATTACTTGCTTAACAGAGTTCACTGATTTGTAAATGGTGATCTTGCTCCATTTCTTATATGATTATAAACCAGCCATGGGTCATCTTTTGTTTCTGAAGAAGGAGAGGAATACCTACTACTAGAAGATTTTGAAAGCAAAACGATTCCATTGCAGTGAGTGTGTTGTAGTTCTTTTGGTCTGTGTGAGCAATTATTCTTACAGGTAAAATCCCAATATGGCAGATTCTATGGAATTATAAAATTGGAGTTTAGAGAAATTTGATGATATTACATGTAATGCTTAAAGCAATGAAACTTTCAAATCTTTATACCAAACATTGAAGCAGCACTTAGCCCAAACCTTGACCTATCAAATTTCTAAGTAGAAAGAAGCATATGGATTGCGGTGCTTGACCACAGGGGCCATAAGTCCTTCCCCAATCCCTGCGTAGCCTGCCATCTCCCTCCCTCCTCCCACACTTCTCTCCTCTTACAAGCTGTAAGGTAATTTTAATTTGATCATCCTTGACCTTTGATGTTGTGGTTGGAGGCTTAAAGTGACAGAGGGAGTTTGAGACAGTTGTTTTACTCTTTTAAAAGAAGCAAGAAAAGGATCTCTGCCATTAACAGCCATGTGACCATTAGTGACATCACCATCAAGTGGTATATTTATGAGCAGTATAAAAGTGGGGTGACTTGCATATTAGACTGAAAGGTGTTTTTGAAACAGTTGTGGCATTCTACTGTCATGTGTAACTAATTAGAACAAATTTTAAAAATTAAAAAAAGCTGTAAGTTTTTAAGTCTTATTGCTTTTATGACATAAAAAGCTTTCATTTAAAAAGCCATTATTAACAAAAATTTAAGTAGAGTTTGTTAAAATCCACATAATAGTTTCTGCAAACTATTTCCCAAGGCGACAGAAGCCTCTCACAAGCATTCCAAAGATGGTTTTTTATATATTTGTTGTAATGGGATTTTACCTGTAAGAGCAAGAAAATTCTATAAATCAACACTAGTTAACAATATCAAATTCTAACTTGATTGTGCTTGTTTGCTGTGAGAATTTAAAATTACACACTTGCAACTTTGTTTCCTGTGCTACTAACGAAGATTTTACTTCTGGAAATTCACTTTTTAAAGCCAACAGCAAAATGACAGGTTTCAGAACATTTTTTTTTTCCTTATGTTAGTGTCTTTCATTGATTTCCCTGGTTTCAGAGTGTTTCTTTTGCAATGTAAATTATGCTTCAAATTATGCTTTAAATCATCACCCAGATATATTTTGCCATCAGTATTTTGTAGGAGTGACAGTAAGACACAGTCCCCTCAGATACAGTCGCCTTTGGAGTTTGTAAGTGAAGCTTATTAAGAAGTCCAAGAATAGAAGCATTAATTGTTTATAGGTAAAAACTCATGTTTAGTGCCCCCAGCTCAGACAAGAGCTCCTCCAGGAAGTATTTCCCCAAACTTGTAGGTTAGATTAAATGTCTTTCTTGAGTTTTTGTGCTCAAATGGTTTCCCTATATCTCTGTTTTATCATAGTATTGGAAATAGCTTGGTAGTTTTATTTTTCTCCACTAAACATTAAGTGACAGTAGGAAGTTTTGCTTACCACTAATTATACCCCTCACGTCTTTTAGCTTCGCCATTCATGAAAATTCTAGATTATGCAAATTTTAGATTATGCATAGGTGCATTCAAAATTCCATCAAGGAATGGTCTAAGTGTTTCTAAGATGAAGAAAACAGTGAGAAATCTCTTCAGAAGAGTAGGGTTTGACCTGAACCTAGTTGGTGTAAGAAAAGGAGCATATCATTGGTAATTCATAAGAAAATTTCTTGGGGTAAAAGAGATGTGAGCACAGTAGAAAGAAGATGAAAGCAGAGCCTGCTTGGGAAGAGGTTTGATTTGGGGAGGAAGAGGACATGGAACGTGGAGCCAAGTTATATTTGTGGCTTTGTAGTTCCCACAGCCTGGAGGGACCTCATGGGTTTTCCATTGAGGATTTGAATAATGTAAAAACTCTATTTTGAAAATATGTCTCATAGCAATGTGGTCTGCTGGATGGATTGGAAGAGGGAGACACTAGGGGGAAGGCCACTTAGGAAGGTTCAGTACAGTAGATGTCACCAGAACTAAATGAACCCAGAATTCACCAAGAATACACAAGTAGAAATATCAGTTTGAAAATATGGAACTCAGGATCTGGGGAGAATACTGGATTTGTCAGCATTTAGAGAAGAAAGTAAATGTATGAAAAACAGGGTTTTTCTAGCCGCATGTGTGATGACTAAAGGCCTGGACTCTGCTGGCCATTCCCATCTGGAAAGGCACAGGGGGCGGGGCTAGTCACTGAAGAGAGGGCAATGATCAGGGAAGGAGAAGAAACATTGGGTTAGCACAGTGTGGGTTCTCTGACACCCTGGGGTGAGAGTTTCAGTGGGTACACATACTGTACAATGCCGAGGTTACTAAACAATTAGGGAAGATAAGCACTTTTTAAAAAATCTCAAGTTATTTAGAAAAAGAGTTTAAATTCCTGCAGGACTTTGGACAACATGTATGGGTAGTTCAGGTATCTTGTTTGTGTAGTCAGCTTCATCATGGCTTAAACCAGTTTTGTGATACCTCAGAATACAGAGATGGAAAATGTACCCAAAGCAGAAATACTCTCAAATGAGAAATATCGAGGTTAATTATCATCTGGAGTTGGTGAACTCTACCTCATGTATTTTGATCCTCTCGTAGAGTTCACTATAAATTTATTAAAGGAAATTAGGATAAGGGAAGATATGGGAAACCCATTAAGTTGCCACCTCCTTATGGGTCTCGTTGGATTTCCTCAGTACCAGGCAATCATTTGGCGTTTAGTTCTGCAGAGTCACAGATTTGTCACCGGCAGGTTCCAAAGCCGTGGATCAACTTGATGAACTGGACGGGCACCAGATGTCTGCATGTTCTGATAGGAAACTTCTCTTGTCCCTGTGCCTTCTTCATTTTCCTTTCCCAGACACTCATAATATCTAATGCAGGGTTTTAGGGACAGTGGCTTTTTGTTTTGTTCTTTTTTGTTTTTGTGGTGCTGGGGATTGAACCCAGGGCCCTATGCATGTGAGGCAAGCACTTTACCAACTGAGCTATATCCCCATCCCAGGATGGTGGTTCTTATGTGTGAATTTCATAGGGAGCCTTGGGGAAGCGGGCAGGTATAGGGAAGAAATTACTACGCTGCTGGTGGTTTGTGGTGGTGGTTTTGTTGTCTTGTAATCATACAAAAACTAAAGAACATTTGTGCTTTAAATCTACAGATCACACAAAAACAATCTAATGAGGGATAAGAACAGATGTTTTGATTGCTAAGCTCTGAATATGTTTACCAAAACTGCGTTCTTATTCTTGACCATGTTATATTTTGTCATTAACACTTTTCCTGTAGAACCCACGCCGATTCTGCAAAATTCACCTCTTCTGAAACAGACTGCAATGATAACGTCCCTTCTCATAAAAATCCTACTTCTTCCCAGAGCAAACATGGAACAAATGGCCTTTTTCAGCAACAAATGATGTGTGATTCTCCACCGTCACGTGCTATGTCTGTCTCTGTGGACTCCAGTCTTTACAACCTGCCCAGGAGTTACTCTCACGACGTTTTGCCAAAGGGGTCTCCATCGAGTACTGAAGCAGATGGAGAACTTTATGTTTTTAACACCCCACTGGGGACATCCAGTGTAGAGACTCAAATGAGGCACGTTTCTATTAGTTATGACATTCCTCCAACACCTGGTAATACTTACCAGATTCCACGGACATTTCCAGAAGGAACCTTGGGACAGACATCCAAGCTAGACAATATTCCAGATATCCCTCCACCTCGGCCACCGAAACCACATCCAGCTCATGACCGATCTCCTGTGGAAATGTGCAACATCCCTCGCACGGCTTCAGACACTGACAGTAGTTACTGTGTCCCTACCACAGGGGTGCCGCCGTCACGTAGTAATACCATTTCCACCGTGGATTTGAACAAATTGCGAAAAGGTCAGCTTTAGTTAGTTTTTACCTTACTAGAGGTTAATGACAGAGAATCTGTTTTTCCAACTAATTGTTCTTTTAAATGTAGTATGGTGTTCAATGGTAGCCTATTTTTTCCTTCAGCTCTGCAGAAAGAGCTGGTGTAGCCAAGATCTGAGAGTCTCAGTGGACCAGGGAAGACTATGTGTGCAAGAGTGTGTGTGTGTGTGTGTGCACACGCGTGTGCGTGCCCTCTCGTGTGCTCACGCGTGTGCGTGCCCTCTCGTGTGCTCTGCTGGATGGGAGCAAGCTGGAGCTGCCCACTCGTGGAGAGGATGGCCCTCTTGATGCCTCTCCCGCTTTCCCTGCTCCTGGGTGCATAGGCTGTCTGCTAAAACAGGAACAGGAAATGGACCAGCCACGAAGCCTCTCCAAGCTTACTCTTTCCTGTGTTTGTGTGCCATTATGGTCACTTCTGTGTCACATCTGGGCTCTGTTTCCTTCCTTCCTCTGTAAGCAGTTTTCATGTCGTGTCTAGCAGGTGATCATTCTGTTACAATCAAGCCCTTGTGCATTTTGTTTCTTTAGGGTCTATCTGATTCCACGGTTCTGCACTCTCCTCTTATCACTGGTCACTACAGTTATTGCTTGTGACTGTTACTTTTCTTACACCTTCTCAAAGAGCCTGCAGTCAGAAATTAGAGCCCTTAAACGGTTGGGGAAATGGGTTTGGGTTATTCTCTTGAGATTCTTCAAGTCCTAAATATAGAAAGCCCAAGTTTTTCATGCACATACTCTTTAAAACGATGTAGTAAAATCTCACATTAGAGTTTTTCTGGCTAGCTTAAAAAAGAAAAAGATTTAATGTATCCTAAGAAATATTTTGTCAGTACTTACTTCTCATTCAGTACCAGTTTCTAAATCTCTTCTTCATGCATTTGGGTAGCCTAGTTATAAGTTAGTGAGATAGAAGTTAGGCCAAAGGTTCAATCTCATAATCAGATGTGGATGTTGTTTGTCATATAAGTAATGTGTCTGTATTTTCTGGTAGTTTTGTGTGCCAGTGTGAAGTAACATTCTGTGAGCATCCCTCTAAATCAGGGTGTGCAGAGAAAGAAAGAGAATAGATCGTTCCTGATTGCCCTGAGCAAGGCAAAGATGGAAAATGCTGATATAGTTTGTTCTTTATTCTAGATGCTAGTTCTCAAGACTGCTATGATATTCCACGAACATTTCCCAGCGATAGATCTAGTTCACTTGAAGGCTTCCATAACCACTTCGTAAGTATACATGACCTTAGCATTGTTGAGTGTATTTCATTGTCAGAGTCTTCCCACTAAGTACCTTGAGACTCATTGAGATCACAAAATGAAAGTACCTTCAGATTCATTGAATGGATGTGACAGTTGTATTTTCATGTTTGACAATGGTTTTTATTTATTAAAAGAAATGTATGTGTGTTTTAGAAAATCAAAAATGTGTTGACAGTGGGAAGTGTTTCAAATGATGAACTGAATGAAAACTACGTCCCAATGAATCCCAACTCGCCTCCACGACAGCATTCCAGCAGTTTCACAGAACCTATTCAGGAAGCCAATTATGTGCCAATGACTCCGGGGACATTTGATTTTTCTTCATTTGGAATGCAAGTGCCTCCTCCTGCTCATATGGGCTTCAGGTCCAGCCCAAAGACCCCTCCCAGAAGGCCAGTTCCTGTTGCAGACTGTGAGCCACCCCCAGTGGATAGGAACCTCAAGCCCGACAGAAAAGGTAAGAGGAACATGCCAAGTGAGAGGATTGGGGAGTGTGCTAAGTTAGAGCTGAAGTTAGCGTCCTGAAATATTTCCTCTACCTTGGACATCAGTTTACAAAGCAGTACTGCTGTTTATAGATTAGCAACTTGCACTGATGCCCAGGTGAGATTTGTAAATCTCTCATCCCTATGTCAAGATTACAAACTTATTAAAATACCCAAAGGAATACCCAGGCAACAGGGGAGAATTAGGAGAAACTGGAATGCCCTGCCCCCTCTATATGGGGTTATGACTTGACTCATACTCGGCTGCAATCTTTTTTTTCTTCTTTCTTCACGTTATATATTTAATGGGAGGAAATAAAATGTTATATAAACAGTCTGATATATAAAATGTTATTTTTTAGATCATACATTTTAAATCTCTGCATGTTCTTGTGATGCTTCCTAAAGTAGCTTTTAACTGGATTTATTAGTAGATGCTGGGGTGGGAAGCTCTAACTGATTCAGATTCAAGTCAAGTTGGCAACATCTTTTCTAGCTTTGAGGGTGTCTGCCATCCCCCCTGTGGATCTCCTGGCAACTGCAGGTGACAAAGTGACAGATGCTATGGCAGAGACTTGTGAGCCATCTGAGCAGATGAGAGGGAGCCTAGAGACTGGTCCCAAGATGGCCTGAAATCCTTTTTTGACTTTCGAAGCTGTGGGCTCATACCAGCAAATCTCCTGGTGTAACAAGAGAACCCAGAAATCTAGGATTTTGTGTGTATTATCTCTTGATGATACAGAGATTATCAGACCAAGCCCAACACTTCTACAAGGTGTACATGGCCTTTAATTGCTACATGGTGTAACCTCTTCTTCAGAGAGTACACAATCAAATCAGATTTAGGATTATTTACGACATTTGACGTAATTACAGCTTTCTATCTACCCATGTAACAACTTTTTAAAAATTAATTTGCCTTGGCTGGGGAATAAATAAATGCTTCTAGTCTACTCTTTTTACTGGACATCATAAGTAACATTAAATTCTATAGCATAGTTCATTAAAAGCTCTCAGTAAAAGAAACTTTTTAGCCAAGTTGGGTAATATCTACTCAGGTTTTCAAAATTTATGTGTAAGTTATTTAAACACAAACAACCTGCTTCTGTTGCAGCATACTGTTGGTGTGACTTAATCTTGACAGCCAAATAAATTAGCATCCAGGTGATGAGTGATACAGCTTCTGGCTTAGTGCAGGGGTTGTCAGCACGTTGAAAAGCCTCCTGTGCTATATGCAATTTTTAAAGAATATGTAATGTTTGTGTATATTTCTCATTAACTAGATTATTAGTACTAGTTTTAATTAAGTTCCAGTTGAGGGGACCAGTGAGTAGCAATCAGACTAGCTTAAGAAAAATGTTTTGGTTTGATTTTGAAGTAGGGGTGTAACGGTGCTGGAAGAAGGCTCTAAGGGGAAACTGAGACCATCCTGTGTCCTGCTCTCCCTGTGGTCCGGCTCCTGGGAAGTCTTGGCCTCTGCTTTGTTCTCTCTAGCATTCTCCCCTTCTTTTCTTAACTCTTAACTCTTTGTCCTCCACCGGAAGAGAGGTGTGCTTTCAGAAAGCTTTGGCCTGGAGCGCCCCCTGTGGCCTCTGTTCTGCCCCCTGGCTTCTTCTTAGGAGCACTTGCAGCACCCATTCAGCTTCCAATTGCCTCCTTCGTTATTCAGTCCCTTTGGATGGCTTAGACATGATGGGGTTGCTCTAATGTGACTGTATATAAATAAATATATAGCCCTCCAGACTTGAAGTTAAAATACCTCTTATTGCTGACTTTATCATGTGAGTGCGCTGTAACCAGGAAGGAAGACTGAAATTCTGAAAAATACACCATCTCTAATTAATGGAGGCCGATTCCCATGGTAACTGTCATGATCCCACTAATTTGACGTTTCACACTGGGCCACGTGATAGATTAAGGTCAGCCCACAGACTGACTGCTGATGGCTCAGGTGTCTACCTGGGGACCCTGAGCTGTGAAGAAAGAGGTTAGGGTGTGTGTGTCGGGGGGGGGGGATTATTCAGTAATATTTGCTTCTGTTTCTCTTGGTCTTCAGTTGTCTCTGATTCTTATTGTAGACCTTAGTCAGATTCTTCTTTGCAGACAGTATACAAAAAGCATTTCTAGACATGGATGAATTTATAGTACATTTGTAGATCTTGGAAGGATTGAGATACAAGCATCATGACCTCTGAAATATTGAAATGTCTTTTTAAACGTTAACCTGGGGCTTTCCGAGTTTACCTTGGTTCGTGATGGCAGCAGCGCTCTACATTCAACCCCAGACTTAACAGTTTTTTATCTTGCGGTCCCACGTAATGTGGAGGTGGTTCAGTCTGGGCAAGGGTACAAGGCTCTATGTCTGATTTAGCCTGTGTTTCCCATATTATTTCATAAGTGGCCACTTTTTGCTTCACAATTGTGTCTCCTGGTGAATGCAGTGAAAGTGCCATGCACTGCAGTACATGAGAGTTCAGTTGTCCTAGTTCTTCCAGTCAACGGTTCTCTGTCACTTGTCGAGATTGTGTTCATTTTTAAAAAAAAATTAGCAGGGAGAGAAAAAGGCCTGCTGGTGTAGCTCGGTGTTAGAGCACTTGCCTAGCATCTACAAGGCCCTCGGTTCCATCCCCAGCATCATAAAAATCAACTGATCTATTAATTTAATTAAAATTATCTGAACCATTCAGAGTCCACCCTGAACTCACTGGTCGGATTATTTGTTTGATATATTTGCTTAGTTACAAAATGAACTGGTAAAGTGTGCCCAGATTAAAACACCCGTATAGTTTTTAGCAAAACCAGGAGCTGTTTTAGTTAAATAGTAAAGAGGTAACTCAAATCATACTATTAAATTTTTTTTTCTTTTCCTTATACCTTTATACTTTGAAATAAATATAATACAAGAAAGGAGGCATGAGAAAATACTTAATGTGGCAGGGAAAGCTTTGTAAAGTTATAACCATTAAAGAAAACATTGTTGAAACCCAAATTCAGATCTCAGAGCCAAGTTTATCCTTGAATCAAAACTGTAAAACCAACTGTCTTACTTGGTTGTGAAATCCTTCTCATTATTCATTAGCATCAGATGAGTGTTTTAATTTCAAATTCTGTGACATCAGATGAATGACTTAATCTGTTTTCCAGTGTCTCTTTTTAAGTGAAACTCATAAGAAAACCTTTCTGTGAAATATGGCTCAATTAGTTTTGGAGCCCCATAATACTAGTTTGACACCCAGGTTAACTGAGTTTTGTGATTTTTCTTCTTAGAAAGGGCCTACAGCAAGTGAGTGACATTCTGGTCTTGTTTACTAGCCCATTTTAGACATCAGCTGCTGTAGTTTGGAGCACATATGAGTTTTTCAAATACTTCTGAGTAACTGAAACTGCAGAAATACATTCAGTGCTGATATCTGATGTTTTATCAGGAACCCTTGGCTGTCATCCAGTGCATGGTAGCTACATTTTCATCAGACTCTTTCTGTAACTCTAGTACTTACTGTGTACCAAACGTTACATATATTAATAGAAGAGGAACATGTTTAGCATATTGTGTAAAATGCTGGGAAAGCAGATACATCACAAGGACAGGACAGATTGTTTTGATTACTTCAACTCAAAGTTTTATTTTTCTACTGGAAAAGTAATTTTGTAAAGTTTGGAAATTTTTTGTAAGATTACCTAGCATGTTTTCTCAAACGAAGTCATTATATAGATGTACCTAAATGTACCCACGCCCCATCACCCTCATCCTGCCTCTAACACGATACAGCATCTATCTGAACACCAAATGCAGTCTTTATATTTTATTCAATTTTGTTTATTCATGCCATGCCGCTCTGTAGTAGCTTAGAACATTAGTTATGGTGTTGATTTTTAAAAAGCAGTGCAGGATTTCTTATGGTATTTTTGTACCTGGTTTGGTTAAAGTATGTTCAGGTCTGCGACCTTACCTTGGTGAAGGAAGTGTCCAGAAGACTAATCCCAGGGAGCTCCTACCCTCCATGCGTCTGTTTTTGGCATAGTGATGTATTTAGATTTTTTTTTTCTCGAAGAGATCACCTAAAGAAGTTTTCAACTGTAATTAAAAAATAACATGCTTTAAAAACAAAAAAGATAAGACTACATTTTTATAATACTCAGCACAGGGGCTGCTGATTAGAATAAGAAGCATCCGCCAATTTTTCCTCAGAGCGGAAATGAGACTGGCTCAGATATTTTGAGGGTGAATGAATGATACAATATTGATATTTATCAATATCTTGATAAATAGGTGTTAAAGTTTGTGCTTTGAGTTAAACTTGTTGCAGTTTAAAGGAAAATAAGTATGGAGCTCCTTTTTACTCCATACTTATTGTCATGTGGGGTTTTTCCTAAGTATTCTTGGCCTACAAGTATGTTTACCATCATTACATCATTATATTCATCTTTATACAGAGAGACCCTTACAACAAGTATAAACATTTTTCAGAACTCTGCCTTGACTTTTTAGAATACACAGAGGAGGGGCTGGAGTTGTAGCTCAGTGGTAGAGCACTTGCCTAGCATGTGGGAGGCACTGGGTTCAATTCTGAGCACTGCATAGAAATAAGTAAAATAAAGGTCCATCAACAACTAAAAATATTTTTTAAAAATAGAATTAGCAGAGGATAATAATCTTGTGAATTACTCTTCTTTTTTGATTTTGAAGCTGCCCCCTGAAAATAGTAGCATCATCTATAAAGCTTTTGGATAAATAAATACTGTAGGTTATGTCAGACCTGTAATAATACAGAAGGTAAATAAAATGTCACATTGAGTTCAATGTCTGTGAGCATTACCTACAAGGACACCTGGTGTGTGCACTTTTCAGAGAAGATTGCATCTACTCAATTGAAATGTGGACTCTCGTGACAGCCTTGACCATATTGGAGATGACCCACTTCTGAAATACATTCAGTTGTTACCTTTTCATTTTTAAAGGACAAGCAAAATG